ATAAATTGTTAGACAACTCACTCTGCTTTGAGTCTTATAAGAAAAGAAAAAGACATTTTTCATTTTTCCCTCCCTCTTTCTGTTCCTTCCTTTGTTTCTTGTATCCATTCATTCTTACAGTTGTATCTCTGAGCCCTCACCCTATATCAAATATTATGTTAGAAATTAGAGATATAAAGGTGAACAAGACAGATAAGACTTCACCCTTCCAGAGGCTCACATTCCACTAGGATGTGACAGAAGGAATTTAATGTTACTGGAATAAAGCAGACATACTGACTAATGGAATAGCATAAAGAGCCCAGAAATAAGCCCATGAATTTATGGTCAATTGCTTTTTGACAAAAGTTCCAAGAACACACAATGGAGAAATGATAGTCTTTTCAATAAATAGTGTTAGTGAAACTGGACAGCCAAGAGGGGAAGAAAGAATAAAGTTGGATTCTTATACCATATATAAAAATCTACTCTAAATTGACTAAAGTTTTGAGCCTAAGACCTGAAACTATAAAAGTACTAGAAGAAAACAAGGGTAAAGTGCTTCATAGCATTTGTCTGGGCAAATGTTTCTTGGATATGACTCCAAAAGCACAGGCAACAAAAGCAAAAATTAACCAATTGGATTGCACCAAACCAAGAAGCTTCTGCATAGGAAAGGAAGCAGTAAATAGAGTGAACAGACGACCAACTGAATAACTGCAAAACATACCTCAGATAAGGGGCTAATATTCAAAATAAATAAGGAATTCAACCAATTAAAAAGAAAACAAAAATAAAGAACACAACCAAAAAATGGGCAAAATACCTAATTAGAAGTCCTCAAAACAAGACATGAAAATGGTCGACAGATAAATAAAAAATGTTTATCATGAGTAATCGTCACAGAAATCAAACTAAAACCACAAGGAGATACCATCTCATCCCATTGCAATGTCTGTGATCCTAAACTAAAAGAGAAGTGTTGGCAAGAGGGTGAAGAAAAGGGAACCCTTATAAAATGTTGTTGAGGATGTAAGTGAGTGCAGCCAATATGGAAAACAGTGGGGAAGTTCCTTAGAAAACTGAAAATAGAATTGCTATATGATCAAGCGATCTCACTATTGGGTATATTTCCAAAGGAATTCCTTATGGCAAAGAGACATCTGCATCCTCATATTCATTGCAGCATTATTTACAATACCTAAGAAATGGAAGCAACCTAGGTGTCATCATTTGATTAATGGAGAGAGAAAATGTAGTATGTATACACAGTGGAATACCAGCCTGCCTTTTAAAAAGTGTGAGACTCTGGGACTGTCACCAAAAAAATGAATTTGTAGAAATAGAATAGAATAGATTGATATTTGACAGAGGCTGGGTAGAAGGGGAAAAGGTAGATGTTGATCATAGGATGTAAAATTTCAGGCAAGAAAACTAAGATTTAGTGATCTATTGCACAGATTGGTGACTTCAATAATTTATAATGCTTTGTGTATTTTAAAATCACTAAAAAAGTGGCTTTTAAATATTTTTACCACAAATAAATAACATGTATTTGAGTTGATAAAGTTGTTGGTTAGCTTGAATTAATCAGTCCACATAACTGATTATAAATATATATCATAATTGATATAATTGGTATTGTTAACATATATCAAAACATCACATTGTACCTCATAGATACAAATAATTTTGGTTTGTAAATTAGCAAAAATAATAAATTTAATTATAATTCATATAATTAATAAAATAATAAATTTAATTATAATTGTTATGAATTAAATAGGAAAATATGACAAAGAGTAAATAATACTAGTGGGGACTTCTTTAATAGAATAATTTAAGAAAGCTGAAACTTGAAGAATAAGAGTGAACCAGTCATTTGGAAATCTGGAGGATGGATATTTAAGGTCATGGGTCTGGCAAGAGCAATGCAACTTGAAGACAGGGATGGGCTCTAAGTGATGGAGAGGTGGTTGGTCCTGGGATGTAGCATGTGCCCCACCAACTGGAGGCCTTTGTTGCAACTCAGATTTCTAATCCCAGCCTCAGTCAGGAGGCCTGGGTGGGGCCTGAACATGTGCTCTTGTCACAAGCTTCCAGGTGATGTAGATGTGGTAACCCCTGAGTACCAATGTGCTAGAGAGGAACCAAAATGAGAAAGGGTTGGCAGTGTGCTGTGAGCTGGGGGCAGGTAGTAACAAGCAAGGCAGGGGCCTATGACCACAAACTTCAAAGAGGTATGTGGTTAATCCCAGAATGACAAGAAGTCATTGAAGGTCCTGATCATCCCCATGATATCCTTCTTGTTCTTGGGTGGTTACAGTACAGTCAGTCTTGGACGATTGTCTGAATCTCTATGTTGTCCACCCCTGAGTACATCTGAGGAACAAATTTGGAGGAATTTGGAAATGACCTATCATTCCCTCTATATTTGATTTCTGACCAATCTCTGACAAATGATAAAGACTTGCTTCAGCTCCTACATTTAGGTTTTGGAAGTATGACATAAGGGCTACCAAGGATGGCTACAGTTCTGATCAGCCCCACATGAACTGAAACACTTAACTCTGATTCTGCACAGTTTACTTAGTGCAGAAAGAACTGAGCAAAGCATATTACATGATTTCTAAGAGCAAATTGCAAACTTTGGGTGATAAACAGTAAAAACATGAAACAATTAGAGGATTATATAAGCAGAGGATGGTGCAATGTGTAATAAAGGGCTAAATTGAACATTATCATATGCAAAACTTAATGATGCAGATAATAAGTGCTGTGACCATTAAGAAGGGGAAGTTTGAAGTTACTTGGGAATGTTTTTTTCTGGGGCAGGTGCTTAGGCTGGTTCTTGGAAAATGGTTCAAATATGGCAGTTAGAGGGGAGGGAAGAGGTTTGGAAAAGCCTTTGTCTTCAATCAACATGCAAAGAATTGCTGTGCCTCCCTGAAGTTTTTGCTACTCTGCTGCCTTTCAAGGGAAAGTTTTCCATGTGTTTCTAGTTCTTGAGTACAATTGAATTACCAGTCCATTGTCTGGTGAGAGCTATTTGGTCAGGGAGCCCTGTGGACTTCTCAGAAGCTTTCATCCTTTGAAAGAAGCTGTCCTGATTTGCCATTGTTAATGAAACTTGTATGACACAATGCTTGAGTTTAAGGCCCACTGAGAACATGACCGTGTTCTTCCTTTCATCTCGACATGGGGGAACCACATGGCAAATAGAAGCTGCAGAAACCCAGCAGCAGTGCTGTTCCCCTAGTGGTAGTAATTGTCCTGAACTTTCTTATGTCATATCCTAATAGCTTTGTCTTCTGACTGATGGCCTATACAGCGTCCACCCTTCATGAATACATACAAAATGTTTTGCCACCCAGAAGGTGAACCCTTTGTAGTCCTGTATCTCTTTTGAGCATGCATCCTTAGGATCCCACATGATTACGTTTTAATATTCTGTCCCTGTGCAAGGCTTAGCTTGAAGATTACCAACTATGCAGTTATTGCAATGGAGATATATATATATATATATATATATATATATATATATATATATATATATATATATAAACTCTGCTAAGTGCTTTTATGTATTAGTTCCTGACTAATACATTTGATGAGTCAAGGGGCTCACCTCCTTGGCTGAGGCTTTCTGGGAAATCCACGGAGTTATCCCACATATTAAGATATTTCCGATTAGGGCAGATATTTCCAAAGGAATAGGTTTATTTTTAATCCCAAGGTTAAAGCAGAAATTGGTATTTAAAAAGAGAGAGTGATTGAAGAGAGGTGCCAGATGGACCTAAGGGGGATTTTAATGGCAATCTAGTGGAGAAAGCCAAAACTTTTTTTTTTCTCCCATCAGTAAGATTCAGAGAATGCTTCCAGAATAAGTATATTTATTTATAAGTTATGCATATGTACTATTATGCTTATACATTATTAGCATGCAAAAGACACACAGAAAATTGAAATAATAAAGAATTGAAAATTAGCACAATATTTAATATTTTATTCCTATATGCAAATGATTCTCTTTTGCATCCTCTGGTGAATGCACACTCCATTTAAGAGGACACACTTCTCAAATACCAAAGTAGCAGCATGGAGTAGTATAATGGTTCTCAAACTTTAGGCTGTGTTCAGAATTTCCTGGAAGCTTATGAAAACAGTTTTCTGTCTCTGCCCCAAAAGTTTCTAATTCAACAGGGAAGGGGCCCAAGAACTTGCATTTCTAACAAATTCCCAGGTGATGGTGTCCTGAGGACTAAATTTTGAGAACCACTGTGTAGTTAAGAGTTTGGTCTCAAAGTCAGTTTCCTAAGTTGGACAGACAGCAGCATTCTTGAAAAAATATGTGGCCTTGGGAAAATTATTTTCTCTCTGAATTTGTTTTTTTTAAATCTGTAAAATTAAGGCAATCATAATTATACTCCTCTTAGAGTCACTAGAGATCTTAATGAGGTAATGTAGATAAATTGCCTAGCACTCAGTGCAGATCACCTACAAAACAACAAGCTGCGTTAGGTTCTCTCTCCTCCTTTTCCTCCTCCTCATTATCATTATCATCATCATGAACACCTTTCTAATGCCACTAAGTAGAGTTAGGGACTTTGAGTTGCAGGATAGAAATGTTGTGCCTTTTTTCACTACAATTATGAAAATGCATTTTTTTCCACCTCAGCATTATGCATAAAGAAAGACCATGCTCTAAGAGAGACATCTTTTGAGTTGAATGGTAGAGATGAAGCTCTTTTGCAAAGTCTGCCTAACGGAGAACAGTGTGTTCAGCCCTCTCCCTTCTATATGTAATTGTTGATAGTTTGTGGCTAAGTGTGTATTTCTGTCATCTTTCGTATATACCAAATTCTTGTTGCATGTAATTCAGTTGACAGTTTTGGTGGTTGTGATTTTGAATGTTTGGGGGGCATGAGAATGGTAAGTTCAGGTGAGTTCTTTGGAATTTGACTAACGTTTAATGTTGCTTCTCTCTCTTCTCCCTTCCTCCTCTTCTTGTGCATTGCTAGGACCCAGTACCACCTGCCAGGAAGATTCCTGTGCCAACCAGGGGGTTTGCATGCAGCAGTGGGAAGGCTTCACCTGCGACTGCTCCATGACGTCCTATTCTGGAAACCAGTGCAATGATCGTGAGTACAGTCTTTTCTTACTGGGAAATTTTTCAAGAGGTTCAGAGGTTTGGAGAAACCTTAAGAGACAATGCATAAAGAGACAGCTTTTCTAAAGGACTCATAAATAATTCTCTCCTCTAGAAACGTGGAAAACGAACAACAACTGTTCTCATGGGAAGAGCAAAGGAGACATTTCTTGCTCAATGCTGGCTATTCTCCTGTATTCTTCCCCTCTGCTTTCCCTTTAGGTTTCAATACTTGTGACTGAGAAGCAAAGGAACAATTCAGGGCAAATGGTTATGTAAGGGGTTCAAATCTCCATGAATTAAGTCATCTGGATAACATTTTTGAGACCCTCTCCATTTGCATTGCCTAGAATTTGGAGGATATTTAAGAATGATAGTTGTTTTCTCAAAAATTCTTAAGTTAGAGGACTTCTTAAGGCCTCCCAAATGAAGAAGACTTACAGAGGTTTTTTTTTTTTTTTTTTTTTTCCCCTCAATTTAGAAACTTTGATAGCATTTTGGGAGTGTCTTTCAGATGTAAGACAGAAATTTCTACTAGCTAAACTTATTGGTATCTTTGTTTATATATACATTGCTATTCTGTTTGTATTTCTATTTGTGAGTGTGTTCCAGGTATTTACCTGTGTATTTGTGGAAGAGAGTCTGGTGATGATTATTCCTGCACATTAGTGATGCTTTGGGTGCATCTGTTGATTTAGTCTTGAGAGGATTGATTTCATGGGGGTGATTCTAGCTCTGATGATGGAGAGACTTCAGTGCTGTGGGAATCTATAACCTGAGTCTCTATTTCCTTCTCATATTATTTTCCTATCATGGTTATTTTAAAGACAAGCAAACACAATTTGTTGAAGAGTCCTGGGTCCTGCTGATTTTCTAAATGCAGTCTTCATGGTAGATATTTTGTCTTTCAATCCAAACTCATTTGGCTTCTTCATTTTGTAAAAAGGCTGCATGATGTTATTAGAGCAAGTAAGGAAGTTAGAGAATAGTGTGTCCACATGGGAGCAAGTGCGAATTACAATGCTATGTCTCTCATGTGTATTTTTTTCCTTGATCTTTATTTCTCAACTTTTTTTTGTATGTGTGTAGGTGTCTCTTGTAGTTCTTGTTTCCATTTTCCTCAGTAGTTTTTCACTCCATATGTTCTTTCATTCTCTTAAGATACATTAAAAAGGAACAAATGGGGAAACTGGCAGTCTAGAAAGAAAACTATGTGATACCCATTCATCTAAATATAAGCATATGCCTCCATATCTGTCATGCAAATGGTACAATGCCCGCAGAAGGGGTTGGCATCAGATTGCTCTTGCCAAGGAGCTTGGTGTTACTGAAAATCTTGTTTCCATATTTATGACGCAGAAATACTGTTCCACTCTGAGACAGGCAATTATGGATCAATCCAGGTTACCTGGGGACTCATGCTATACGCTCTTTCCTTTCCCTCCATGAGACTTACTAGGAAGGCATTTTCCCTCTAACTGGTGACATAATACTTCTTTATCCTCACAAGGTTGTTCCTTATCACACATACACCCCATTGTGGGTAAAAAATGGTCAGGAAGAGACTCTGCACACAAAAAAGGCAGAAAGGTAAGTCACCAACTTCAGCAAATGTGCACAATCTTCAGAAGGTAAGTATGTATTTTTCTATTATTGACAAGCTCCTCTGTCATTCAGAGCCAGGTGTTATCTGGTAAAATTCGACCAGTGTTCTTCGCAGCTTTCAATGATTACTTCTGATTTTTGTCAAGAGCAGATTGTGTCTCCATTGAGGATGTGGACTACTGCATTATCTGACTCTGGCAATTTTTTGGTATAAAATGAAGTACTTGGATGAGGATTGGAAAAACGTCAGCTTTCCTTTGTGACACTAGCTTCTCATGCTTCAAAAATATCAGATATCCAGGCTTAGAGCAATGCATTTTGGACTTTATTCTCTAAGCAATGTAGACAGGTCTTTCGTTTTGTAACAGCACAAAATGCTATCAGAATCTGCTTACTTGATCCTCTCCTGGAGAGTATTCCAGGGCTTCTGTTATTGGATGGTGATCACTGAAATGAAGGATGTACATTTTAATTTCTAGAATGTAATAAATTTATAGAATTCAGATATGTAGGAAGTGACTATCAAGTTCAGATATGAATTTTTAACAAAAATCAACTAGATATACTTAAATGATAGGCTATTTAAAATTGTTACAATGGCTGATCCCTATATATGACTGGCATTCAAGGTATTTGGAGGGAGCTTCTCTTTGGGAACTAGCATCAAAGCCACTTCATTCCACATAGAATATCAGTCTCATTACTTTACATCATAGATTATTATTTTCTATATTGACCTTTAGCATTATAACTTGATATTTCATCTCACACATATCTTCAAAATAAAGTTACTTCTCTGATATTCTGTGCATTCAAGTATACTAATAAGTCCTTGGTAGTTTAGTCTGCATAAGGGATCAAGTATTAATCTTCAGCATCATTAGCAGAGTTGAACAGGCTCATGCTTAGCATTAGAAAAAGCATAAGGGTAATTACATATAAAGGAGAAGGGATGAAATCAGTTCATGGAAGGGAACAGGGAGCAAGGAGAAAGGATCCTCAATACAGAGGGTCAGGGACTGACTCTTATGTGGAAGTAGTGCCATAGAGCCCACTAATGATTGCTTTGGTACCCTACATGCCTTAAGTGGTTTTCCTTTTACTAAATAACACACGTCTGACATAGTAAGCGGAATGCCATCAATGGAATCTGGTCTTGACTTCATTCTTGAAAAGAAATATTTGGAGAACATTGCATATATCTAAAATAAGAAGGATTTCATAAAATGTCATAAGACCATCTGAATTGGTTAAGATGAAATCTAATGGCAAAGACATTTTTTCGAAAAAAAGTTTTGAATCTCTCATTATCTATGAAGCCATTTCTCAGGGAAGCAGACTGACTCTCAAATAAAGGAAATGAAAACATGTCAGTTTATTACTGCGAATCCAAGAATAGAAACTTGTCCAATAGGGAAATGACTAGGTTTTGTATTTTTAAAATAGGTATTTATTTCATCATATGTTAAAAAAAATGTTAATTGCACCTGATGTAACTTGTAAGACTCTGAAGAAGTGTGTGGGCATTTTAGAGTCTCCCTCACTTACTCTGGTGTTGGTTTGATCACTCGTGACCTTTGCTTTTTTCTTGCTTATCAAATCTAGAGTTTGCTTGATAATTTTAAGATGCTATCCCATAGATGGTGTCTCCAGAAGAAGCAGGTATCTTTTAAGACTTCATTTCATTTAGTATGAGTAAACCACAGATGACTTCTCTTCATTCCATTTTATTCTATCATTCTTTGTGTGAGTAGGTTGGGTTGATGGATGCTGCCAGGTGGATTTCAAGTTCACCCTTATGAAGCTGTGATGGTTTTGAAGGTGTGACACATATTCCTGGGAGCCGGTCACTTTGTGTAACAGTGACTCACTTGTGTGGGTTAGAAAATAAATATCACCTGATTAGAAACCTAAGTATAATTGACTTACTAATAGCTTTACATATTTTAGATATGACTGTCCACCCTTTTATGTAATGGCAAAACCATGAGGAGTTTCTTTTTCATGAGGTTAACTTTTAGGGGTGTCTTGATACTACCATGGACTTCATCATCCCAGAGGCAATTTTGAGTTAACATAGGTCCCAATAACATCTATGGAAGGACACGTAAGTTACATTCTCCAATGGTAATTTTCAGTTCTTCTGAAAAATTCAGAACAAAGGGTCTAGCATCTCAGTGGGTGAGCACTACCTGAAAGCCAACCTAATGGTGTGTGTGTGGGGACTACCTTTGAAGAACAACAAAACAAATGGAACTTGACAAGAGTTATTATGAGGATATTCTTTCTGGATATCAGATTCTTATTGGTATTTTAAACCGGGACTGAGAACTGTAGAAATTCCATATTATGGTACCCACCATCAGAAGAAGCCAGAATCTCTTTTCCATGCTGCGTGACAATGCCACTCTCACTGGCAGCCTGTTGTTGAGTTCTTCTTTCCACAGTATTGAAAAGTATTGCACAAAATCCTACCGTGCTGCTTGCATCCACACATACCCAAAGTGTTATCCTTTTTTAGGAACTTTGTGAAAATATGAGTTTTAAACAACACATAATGATCCAATAAGAGAGCTTATCCTAAACTATTCATGACAACTGCTCTGAGTTGCCTATAATTTGCTGATCTCATTATTGCTTTTGTGTTTGGGAGAAGCACATGTCTACAGGAACGGCCGATGGCACATGAATGCTTAACACATGTCAGGTTTCTGTGTTTATGAGTCCAGTGTTGATTTTGGCTTTGTTGAATGAGGATGAGGGAATATATGTGGGTCCTTGGACCACCATCAGCAGACAGCTATCCTGTGCTACATTGCTAGTAGTGCATTGCAGGCTACGTGTTGGAGAAATTGCTGGGCTCACACTGGCATGTGATAATAGATGTTCTTTGCTTGCAACAAATCAATAGCAAGCAGCTGTGGATTGTGCAGATAGTGGAGTGTGAAGCACCTTTTCAGACAGTTTTCTACTGGAGTGGCTGTTAAGCTGCACTGTTGGCTATTGATTGGCCTTTTGCTTTTTATTTATTGTGTGGGTTTATTTATTTTCTTAATGTAGGTTGGTCTATTGATTAAATCTGTTAAAAACACACTTCCCATTCAGGCTTCAGAAAAAAATAAGCAAGATATGCATTACTTAGTGTACAAATGAGGGGGCAGATGTATGTATGCTAATTCTGTCTCTTGGTTCCATATATGAACAAAAGCATATGCTATTATAATATGTTCACATTTTGTGTCAATTATTTATTCCTCACCTCTGTTTTCAGGTTCTGTTCATCCAGCAAATAGGTGCTATTTCAGTTGACTTGTAAGGTAATTGTTTGTGGCTGAGAACATTCTCTATTATTTATTCACTCACTAGATATTTCTTATTTGTAGATAT